CCGGGCTCTGCCCAGGAACTCCGGTGAGACTATAGAAGGAGATGGAGATTTAATCACCAGTTTTAGTGGGGCAAATGCCCACGAGTCACATCCCTTCGTATTTTGCCCCGGCTCCATGGAGTAGCTAGCTCCGCCACTGTTGGTACATGCATGCGTCATGGAGGAAGAGAGACGATCTTCTTCTCCTCCACGGCACTAGTTCAACTTGATACATCATGGGGAAGGTGACTTCATGTAACCTGCCAATCGTCTCTGATTTTCGGAGCATAATGATATGCAGTGCCTTCTCTAAATGTCTTTCATTCACGGTATACATCAACATATACATATGACTTTGCGCGTCAACTATTTCGAGGTCATAGGATGCATAGATGGATGGAACTGAAATTGGCATCTCTTCCTTTTCTTTTCTTTCTCTCAACAGAAAATTTCCCATTTTTTGAAATAACATCTCTTCTTTGACTGCTCCCTCTGTCCCATAATATAAGACGTTAAAAGTTAAAAAGAAATGTAAGACGTTTTTTTCACACTACACTAGTGTAAAAAAACGTAGTGTCAAAAAACAGTGTCAAAAGACGTCTTACATTACGGGACGAAGGGAGTAGATATTATCATGCAACTCTCATGAAGAAAGAGAGAAATTATCACACATTATTACATAATGAAAGTAGCACAAAAGATGTAGCACGGCCATAATAAGTTCATTACATAAGTAGCCGAAAATAGGACGAAAGATGAAAACAATTGTTTCACAAATTTTTAACCAAGACAAGATGACAAACATTTGATATGTCATGCCCATGCCTCTACAGAATAACACAACAAGGTGAAATTTTTTGGTTGCTGACTTGATGCACTTTTTTTTGTGGGGTGGCTTGATGTACTGGCCAACCATTTCTGATTTTCAGAGCATAATGCTGTGTGATGACTTATTTGCATGTCTTTAATATGTATCAGCATATACATATGACTTTGTGGGTCAACTGTTTGAAGGTCATAGGATATTTGGACGGACTAGAAATTGACAACCCAACCCTTCCCCCATTCTCTGGAGTAACCTTTCCCTTCTTTTCTTGAAATAGCATTTATTTTTTGACTAGAGATTACTATCACACAGCTCTGAACAAAACAGAGAGGAACAACTATCACATATTCATTAGATAATACTCCCTCCGTTCCAAAATAGATGACCCAATTTTAT